CCAGTCAGATGGAGGTGGCCTGCTGCAAGGAGAGACAAATGGCTTTGTATATAGTATAGAAGCCTCTGATCATGTTTAACTAAATAAAATAGAATTCTGTATTACACATTATTGTTCCCTTAATGTTATATAAATTTACTTGCCAGTGAAGGTCCACATTGGGAGCCCTCTTGGGGTGCTCTTGGCATCAGCAATCAAACAAATGGTAACTGTAGAAAAGGCCCTCTGTGCTAGTGCCCTAACTTTGGAAGTGCTTGCCTGGTTCTTAGTCTGATGAGTTCTAGGTGCTGAACCAAAACTGTATTTGTCTAGGCCATTAATAATTGATTATCTTTGGCTTTAGCACCACTTCTCCATTTTAAACTAGCTCTTGCCTGTTTTATGGCTTCTATTTTTGTGTTTTTATCTGGTTACTTTCCATTTAGCTAGTTTGCATATAATAAAAGATAGTTTAACACTGCATGGAGAAACCTGAATGAGACCGAGTGAAGTGTTGGCTTGGAGTGCTCCTCTTTCCTCTTCTTCTTGAGCACCCAGAAGGAAGACATTGGCTGAGCTTGGCATGTCATTCCATATGAAGCAGAAACCTGGACAAGCTAATTAGTTGAACAAGCTGGTTAAACAACCTTGTTTGGAGCTAGCTTCCTTAGAAACTAATCAGAATTTGTTTTAAATTCACAGCCTCTGTTTTACATATAATGAGAAGCCACCTCTGCTGAAATCTGCTAGGAATAGGGAGGAGGGGAAATGGATGGACCTGAGACTTTGAACAGGTTCATTTGAGCTTGTACAAATAATACTGAGTTTAGCATTATTCATGCTCTCAGCCTCAGGGGAAGGTAATGATAAACCTCCTCGGAACAGATCTTGCCAAGAAAACCCCATGATAGAATCACCTTAGGGTCGCCATAAGTCGGAAACAGCTTGAAGTAACACAACCATAACAAGCAAACCTGCTTGTCATCCATTATTGTCACTTCTTAGCTGCTTTTTGAGTTTTTATTATAAGGTTGGATGCATTTTTTTTAAACTAGACATCTAACAGAGGTGGGTGATGGCTCCCATATTGGTGGGGTGGTGATACTGCTCCTTGACTTAGCACTGACTTTAAGGGAACTATACTTTAATAAGATGCAGAACCTATCTGGGGAATAGGGTTCAGAACCTTAGAGACCTCTTATACAATGGAAACTAAAAGCTAGGGTGGAGGTAAGATGGAACCCACCAGCCATTAAAGGTAACTTATTTTATAATAAAACAATGCAGTAAGCCTTGATGTGCAGTGTTAAGGTCGTAATCAAATGCTGTGTTTATTTAAGACATAATAGCTTTAGATTTTTGAAATCTTTACCAGTGTGTTGAAAAAAATATGTTTTTTGGCTTTCTGTTGCAGGCAGGCTTCCTCATTTATAAAAAACTGGTGAATATGAGTAGTGATAAGGAGTTACCAATTAGCATAGAAAGAGGTGAGTTTCAAAGTAAAGTGTCAGTATTATAATAAACTTTTAGTATCCCCCCCCTTTAACATCTGTGGTTTGACTTTTCCTCAAATGCATTAGTTATTATGATAGACATACCTTTGATGGTGTTAATGCCTGATAAATTTCTTTTTAATCTTAACTGGGAAAGTACAGTAGCCATGGTTATACATTCAGGTTGGTCATATAGCAACTCTCTAAAACTGGAGACTAGCATCTTACATGGATGAATGCCTCACATAGCTTCTTCAGTACCTCAGTAGGGTTTATTTTGGATTTTTCATTTGCCAAATAATTCCCCCCAAATTCTTTTATACTTGCCAATTCAAAACATACAGACAGTTTTGAATGTCTGTTTTTAAATCAGAAAGACATGCATAAATCAATATGTATAAATATGCATAAATCAAAAGAATAGAGAAGACAAGAAAATAGGAACAGGGAAGGAGAGGACAATCCTTGTACAAGGAGAATTGCTAATACCGTATTTTTCGGCATATAAGACGCATTTTTTCTTCCCCAAAA